AATTGAAAAATAATAACCTGCAGATGATATGTGTATGCAAGACCTGCATATGTGCTCAAGCTTCTAGTTGATAAAGCCAGTGCTTTCTCATAGTATATGATTGCCTCATTGTACCTCCTGGCATTTTAGTGAATATTGACCGTATATCACCAATATAATACAGAACAGACTTCTAAATAATAAAGCACTAAATATGGCATTATGAAAAAAAAAATGACCATTAAAAAAAAGACATAACTATGGTACATAGGACATGAATGATGAATCAAGAACAGTAGATAGTAGGTACCAACTTGTATGGTAGATAAATCAGTGAAAGCATAACAAGATCATACATACTTTAGTTTTCTCAATGCGTGAGCAAGGTTGACTACAGTTGGTTCCCACATCTCAGTTAAAGAGGAGGGTACGTGAGCTAATGTCTTCTCGAACCACCAAACAGCCTTCTTATACCTGAATTTTTTTTCGGGAAAGAAAATCACATACTACAGTATAACGATTTATAAGTTTGTATGATAAGTTTAGTTCTGTCTGGGATATTGTGAGCAGATATCTTATGAAAGAGAGTCCAATACATAAACAATGATTTTATTAACAAATTCTCAACAAAGGAAATGCATAAAGATATGACTTATGACACCGAACTCCAAATATCATAGAGCTTCCATTGGGAAGCTATAATATTTTCTTGAACCAGATTAACAAAACCCAGAGATCCAAGCACAGAAGATATTTTCAACACCAGAATCTCATTCACAGTACACTCGGAAAGACTTCTCTCACCCAAAAGTAAAGAATAATGAGTGCATGTATTTGTAATGGAAGGGAGGATCAGGCACAAACAATGTTATAAACATCTGATTTCATTGGAGATAGTTTTCTTTTAGTCAATCAACTTGAACAATATATTCAGATCACATACATCTGTGATCTGTTAATAGATTGACAAACTTCCTTTGTGCTAGTTTTAAATAACCAACTTAAAACGGAGATACAACAAATACATATTCAAATGCTTTTGAGAGACAGCTTTCTTATCAGTGAACTCGAACAAAGACACTATTTTCAATCTAATACTACAAAACCCTCAGTAACAAAGAACTTATATAAATTCCATGCACTCCCATAAGGTCCAATATCCCACCCTTTAGGCAGAGGGAATGAAGCATCCTTTACAACCTCCAACAACCGAGGATCAAAACAATATTGTACGCTATCACTTAAGAATTTATGAAGCCTAGAAGTAGCTACCTTAGACTCCTCAGAAATTCAAAATTTATTTCGCAATTTTCCCCTCATATGACAGATCAAAGGAAATAAAACAATGCTGAAGTATAAACAATGTTNNAAAAGTAGCAGCAATTCCTGGTGATTTCTTTTAGGTAAAATCTCTTACTCTTTCATGTGATAAGCCACAACTCCAAGCTCATTATACACAAGTGGATCTGCAGGACATACAGCTTGAGCCTGCATGAAAAACTGAAATAGAATTTTTGTTAAGAAAACTGAAAAGATGAACAACAGTGGTTTTAAATAAAAATATGAACTTTCCATCTTTACAGCTAATTGACTTAAACCCCTAAAACAAAACAATGGACAGAAGATATTCTGTAGTTGAACGTCATTATCACCTGCTCAGCAAGTTTGAAGCTATGGGTTCGCATATATTCCATCCCAATGTATAGAGTTGGCAAATGGCATCTGGAATAGAAGCAAATAAACACTCCAGCTGTAAATTGTGAACTTAATAAAATAAGTTCTCAAAAGATCTTCCACAATGAGTAGACTTAAGGCTTCACTAAAGTCGCCTAGTAAGTCATTATTCCTAAGCATCATTCTCAAACATAAAAATAAACTTTATCCCACTACAAGCTTAAGAGGAGCATAATGTGAAGTAGCAAATCAAGAAAAAGAGTTTCACATGCCCGTGCAGATGCCTAACTCAAGGTCAATCGCAGTTAGCCCCATGATTTATAAATTTTTAAGAAGAACTCTCGGCAACCGATCATAGATTTCAAGCTCCTAAATGACATGAGATGTAATGGTAAAAGGTAATGTCTCTATCATTACTATTTACCACACCACCAGTGAGTTTGAGTAACTCTGTAAATATTTTAGGGGAGGTTCAAAACCACTGCGACAGTTTAAAATCAGGTCAATGAAACTACGCAGCCAACATACACAGACATGTAAAAAGATTTAGCACTTCTTTATCACTTAAAAGTAAAAGAATAAATATTACATTGGGGGGTCAGGCCAATTATCCCTATTTCCTGAACTTCCTTTCCTAGCTTAATATGACCAACATTGAAGCATCTCTTGACGAATGGCCATTTACAAAATGACCAAAAGTAAGAAAAAAAAAGGAAAAATACAACAACAACAACAACAACAACAACATACCTAGTATATTCCTAACAGGTTGGGGTCTGGGGGGTCAGTTGTACGCAGACCTTACCCTTGTAATTATACAAGGAGGCTGTTTCCGTAGCGACCCAAGGTGCATTACGCCGTTTGCATAGTGCTAATAATGGACTAAATAAAAATGGCTCAATTAAATTCTAGTGCTTCTTCTATTAGTGAAATTTCTAGAAAAAAAAAAATATCAAACGGCGCAATGCACCTTGAGTCGCTACGGAAACAGCCTCCTTGTATAATTACAAGGGTAAGGTCTGCGTACAACTGACCCCCCAGACCCCAACCTGTTGGGAATATACTGGGTATGTTGTTGTTGTTGTAAAAAAAAAAGGAAAAATAAATTAGAAAAATGGATTGAAATCCACCAAAATAATTTGAAAGAGAAGGTCAACAATTAATAAATGAGGTACAATCGTCCATAACATCACCACACTGCACCTAAATGATATCAAGCAGGTAAAGAACTGTTGAAAATTTAATATATGCATCCAAATTTAGATAAGAAAGATGCATAAGGAAAACATGCATCACTCTTAGGTAGAACTTGATGAAAACTAGAAAATTAATAACAGTTACACACTCTACAAATGCATAAGAAGATAGACAGCAAAAATATTTACCCAGGAAATAATCGAGCAGCGGTACGGTAAGCCGACATGGCTTGATCTCCTTCTTCTTGAGCTGTGTATGCATTCCCACAGCCAATCCAACCCGGAGCGAACGTTCCATCTAAACTTGTTGCCTTGCTGGAGAAAGATAAGAAAGGAATCAAGTAATCTACATTGGAATGCGAATCACTAGCTTTATGACACCACAATCGAAAAATCAAAGTAGTAGTTTGCCGAAGTAAGTGATTTCATATTTGTCCCCCAACGGTGTTAATCCCGACCAGATATTGGAAGCAATTCATTGCATAAAAGAACATCTGAATCAAAGGTTTAAATAATCAACACAAATCAAACAAATGATCAACACATAAATTAATTAATTTGAAAAGGGCCTTAATAAATAATATGGAGAAATACTACACTAAAACCAAATTCATTATCTATCCTGTACTTCAGCTAACCATATATAAATGATAATAATTCTTCCGTCCTACATTTTCAGTTCTCTCAAAAGCTCAAACCGTCAGAAAAGCATAGAAGTAATGCATTTCTATACATGCGAACCTAGACTGGCAACTGAATACGGTATCGTATTATTGGACATTCCACTAAAACCTAAGTCAGCAACACCTGGCTAGTGAAAAGGGATTGAACAGGAAGAATAAATTTCTCTTAAACAGGTACTGATTTTCGTATAGATATAGTTATGCTTCAGAAAAAGTTTCATATAAAAGAGAAAGCACAATAAGTCATTAATAGAACAAGTGGCATGGGTGATACCTGAAATATCGACGTGATTGGTCGAATTTTTTTATGCAAAAATAGTAACAGCCCACAGCAAACCATGACAGTGCTCTGTATAAACATGTAACAAGAGGCAACTGAGACATAAACCCAGAGAAATGGAAATAAACAACTACCATTCTCACTTTTGTGGATAATCCTTGACTAAATTGCATGCCATTAGATAGAGTTCATTCGAATGTCCAAGCTCCATGGCTGCAGCTAAATGCACCAAAGTGCACTTTAGGTGGAAAGGGTCTTTCTCGAGCAATCTGGATCGAACATGTGTATAGAAGAAAGTGCCATCAGAAAACAGAATATCATATTTAATTCAACTTAGAAGAGTTGTAAACCTACACCGAAGTTAGTTCAAAACATTTCTGGTATTCACCACACTGATGGTAGTACTCAGCTTTGCAGGCTAAGAGATCAGTATTGTTCTTCAGTGAACATAATGATTTTCCAGAAGTCTTTGTATCAGAAACTTCCAGCTCGAGCTCTTTAAACTTGTTTTCAACAACATTTTCTTTATCATACTGGGGATCAAAACATCACAGGATTAATATTGCAAACATGATAATCTAGTACATTATCAAATAAAGTGCCTAGTTTCATGAACCTGGAACTGTGAGAGCCTTCAGAATCAGAATGTTACTTACTTTCTTTATCAAGCATGAATAAAATGAAGAAACCCATCCGTCTTCTGCGCCAAATTGCAATGTTGCTAGTAGATTGGCCTCTAGAATATGCAGAAAACTGAATCAGATTTTTAGCATTTAAAAAATATACATCGCTGGAAATTGGGAATCATTTCCTTCAGTGATACCGATAGGTATCAAAGATAAATTATCGAGACTCAACAAAGCAATATGTGTGTGTGTGTAAATAATATTTTGGTGCTGACAATTCAAACTTCAATTGGGTCCACCTTCTTCGCAAGTAAGCATGTGACCTTCCATTAGACATTCCAATGCCTGAATAAGAAGAAAATCTTATGTCCATGAAAATGATAATCTTAAACATTTGATATAGATATAAATATGTGTCCAACGTTGACCTGGAAAACCACTATTAATTTAGATTCAAATGTTGAGGGCTAGGCAAATACTACGGTACCTCGTAACACAAAGGATCTGCTTGAATTGCAGCTTTGTACCTTCAAGTGTCATGGAAAAAGTAAGGTTATGACTGTAGCTCGAATCTACTCTACCCAGATTTGAGCAACAATAAAAGAATATTACACTATAAGCTGATAATAACAGCTGCAGAAAGCTAAACGAGACAAGCGAGGTAGCAACAGAAAATGACAGAAAGAGTGAAAATGCTAACCCAGTAATTATACAAAATTGGGCAAGAAAATCATAAAGCATGAAACCCAAATATACATTTTTTAAGTAGATATAAGATGTTTCATGAGAAAAAGCGCAGATGGGCTCAGTACCCCAATAACATGTCAATCCATAGTGGGATAATTGGTAACACAATATGGAATGTTTTATCTAACTAATGTTATTTCATCAATCATAAGAGCTTCACTATCTTCGAGGATTTATCAATTGACTAACTGATGAAAAAAATTCTATATGTAGCAAAGCTACTCGGTGAAGGTTAATATACTATTTATATTCCTTGCTTTAGATGTGGCCAGAGTTTACCATACTCAGTTTGGAGATGCTGCAAATTAACATATTATTAACAACTCTTGTCTTTAGATTTCCGCATAAATTAACAACATTTCACAATGGCCTCTTCTTTACGGATTTTACTACAGAGTAACAGCATTGAGTAATACACGGAATTGAAAATGATATTTGTTCAATATCCCTCATCTTTCAAGTTGTTCAGAATGGCAATTATATTTACTGATGTCAGTTACTCTGGCGCTCACGTTTAACATCGTTTCGCTCCATCAAATTCTTATACATAAAAAGTTGATGGGATTACATAAAAGGCTGGGCAGCTGCTGCCGTAGATAAGAAACCAAATGTGACATAACAAGGATACATGTACTGGTAAAAAGAATAATGCAATCACATAAATGTACCACGCACCATAACCGAGCCTGTGAACGATTTTCCAGGGCCTCGTATGCTTTGCCTCTCAGAAAGCATATTGCTGATATAATCTGCCAGTCATATAAACATCACTCTTCAATCAGAGCATTATCAACAAAATTGTCAACGTTTTCCCCCTTTTCCATCTATCTCTTTACATTTCAAAGTGACCAGCAGTAGATGCCATATTCATACCAAACAAACTTACATTGATTTCACGATCTTCACCATCTTTATCGAGGTACATACTATTGAAATCCTTTGAGTCTGTAATGTTACCATTTTCATCCACTTTTGCATCACCAAGCATTAATAGGCATTGATCCCACTCCTTTAATTCTTCCTGGTCGTACAATATGGTTCTTAGTCAATGAGTATCATGAGAATCGATAATTATGCCAACTAATCACTTGAACCATTAGAAGTTTCAGAAGATGCAAAAACAGATTGACCTATCCAATGATCAAATTCTATTAAAAAAAAAGCTTGCTCTGACATCAATACTACAAAACTTATGACAAGGAAAGTTAGATGAAACATAAACTGATCATACTGAAATTTTAATAAAGCCCACTGCAGAAGCATTTTTTGGTCTGCTTGGTAGATTTCATTGGAGCATATACAAAGGAAAAAATGCAAACCACACATCTATAACGCGCTAGAACTTCCTACATTTAATGGGTAATATAATCCCAAAATTCCAAGTAAATATATATCTCAAATTGAATTATGAAATCTCACTATGGTCCTTCTATCACATTTTCACAAATTAACTCGGCATCCTCAGACATCACCACAAGAATCCAAAAGAAAACGAATCACTACCAGCTAAATTTCAAAATTTCTTGAGCACACCCCAAAGGCCACGCATTGAGCCCTAACCTTCAGCTGAATATCATATCTAAGGTGTTCGTCACCTTGATTATGGGAAACAAAAAAGAAATAAAAAATAAATAAAAATACATGAAGTAATTACTAGGCATTTAGCTGCAAGGTAGCGGAAGCGGAGGTCGCGGAGGACAATTTGGGAGGCATTTAGGAGGTGGAAGGCACGGCGGTAGTGACGGCCGAGGTAGAGCGCCTGCGCCTGCATGTAAATGTCGGCGGGGTCCGCCGTGACCGCCGCCACCTTGTCGGCAAAAAAGATCGCCGACGAGTACAGATGCTTGCTCACGCAGTCGCGGACCACGCCCCGGAGCTTCTCTATTTGCTCCTCCCTCATAACTTTCTCGAAATTTTGCTCTTGTTTCGCAGATTGAATTGGAGGTTTTTGGGGATGGGGAGCAGATGTTTATGCTAAAATCGTCTGAAATTTGAGGATTCAGTGAAAAGAGGCGGAGAGGTTTTCGGCTTTGCCATGGTTTGTACTTTGGACTGAATGCGTGATATGGACCTGGGCTGAACGAGTCATCGGTGTACACTCGTACTTCTGCTTTTGTTAGGTCATAAATTTTAAATGTGACATAATATATGGAAAATTGAATTACTTCGCAGACTTAAATAAAACATGAGAACAACATAACACAACTTTCTATTAGTAAATATAAAAGTTATTAAGAAAATAATAACAGCTTAATATATTGCAATCTATCTTCATCTATACTTATATAAAAAGAATAATATTTTTTAAAAAAGAAAAATTAAATTCTTTGTCAAACTATGTTATCATTAATCACGCGTGCAACATTAAATGCCTTAGACATTTTTTGGTTAGGATTCTGACAGATTTTAACTATCGCCTAAAAATTTTCAGTCCATAAAAACAATCCGATAAATTTTTCTAATTCACACGTTTGGTTTAAAAATATCAATTTCAGTACACATCTGAATTCAAAAGAGATACACGCTTAAATCGAACAATTTTTTAAAAAAAATCGCAGTAATTTGTATCCTATTTTGATGGATAGATACATGTATAAAATAAAATTGCTAGCTAAGCAATAAATTTTACCTAATAAATAAAACCTAATAAATTTTACCTATGTGGCAAATCATTAATAAAATCTAATAAATAAAACCTAATAAATTTTACCTATGTGGCAAATCATTAATAAAATCTAATAAATAGAACCTAATAAATTTTATTTATGTGGCATTAATACACCCAATCTCATTAATAAGAAAATATTTCATTACATTTTTTTGGGTTAATTAAGACAAAAACCATTATATTTTATGTTAACTGATTAATAATTATATTTTTTATTGAATAATATAATAGTTAATATTAAAATTAGTAATTATATTTTATACTAAATAATATATGAAAGTTAAATAAAATTATATTTTATACTAAAATCCCTTCTATGATCTGATTTTTCTAATTCGTATTATAAGGATTTATAGTTTATTTAACATACTCTGCAATGAAAATATATTTTACAAGAATTTAATTATAGAAATAAATCAAAATAAAAAAATAAAAAAAAATAATCATGGTGCCAATAATATACAAATAAATTCTAAAAAATAGTTAATATATTTCAATTTTACTTTCTTACCATTAGTAAACTATTTAATGTATCTGGTCATTATCTCTTAAATGGTAAATTATATTAATTTGAAGAACAATTTATTTTTTATATTTAACAAAATAAATCTTAAGAAAAAATATGTTGGCAAAGATTAATTCACCAACTTGATTTTGTCTAATTACTTGGAAAAAAAATTCTATTAACATGTTATGATTTTTCATAAATATTTTTTGATAAAAAGTGAATATTTGAAACAGGTTTCTCTCTCAAGCGAAAAAACCTAGCCCCCAAATCCGTCCAGTTTTTCTCTTCTCCCGGCGAATCCGCCTTCCTCAACGAAAGATCAGCTCGACTAGGGGTCGTCTCAACCGTTCCCTCCCCTCCTTGGCGAAGTGCCCCCCTATTGCTGCTTCAGATGGTCTATTGACGGTGTTCTCAAGTTCGCAATTGCCGATGAATTTCAGGACGACGGTGGCGCACCTCAAGGTTGAAGTAAGTCCCGCGATTGGAGACTTTTCAATTGTCGGTGAAGCTGCGATTAGAGAAGGTAAGCCCTGCTTTCTATTTGTCTGCGATTGGCGGATTTGGCTGGTTCCGACGAGTTTCACCTGTTCGGGTGGGGCCCGGGCCGCCGGTCGTTGGATGTCTTTGGTGGTGACGGGTGGAGTGCGAGCTAAAGGATGGGGCGGGGCTCCGGTCACCGCGGTGTTCTTCGTTGCGGCGGTCGGAGAGGGGACGTTTTTGGCTTGCACTATTCCCCGTTTGACTAATGGTGTTAGACGGCGGGGAGATTCTATTTGGTCTCGTCTAGTGGTGTTAGATGTGTTCGGATGGAATCGGTGTGGGTTGGACTATGGCTCTCTCGGTTGCGATGGGTCGATTCGGAGACCGGTTCAGAGATAGGTATCTGCTATTGTATAGGCTTGATTGCAGTTTCGGTAGCAGGTTCTTTGCCTGGATTGGTCTTGTGTCGATCGTTCACTGCTGGTTCGAGTTCGCTCGTTTTGTTGAGGAAGGGCTGCTTATTTTTATTTAGATTATTGTGTTAGTGTTTTTATTTTCGTAGTTGTGTTGTGCGTGTCTTGTGTTTTTGGTTTGGGCCGTTGGCCCCTGTGAGCCCGAGTGTCAAATTTATTATCCTGTTGGGATCCGACACTCGGGTATTACTCTGTTGGGGTCCTTGTAGTTTGTTTTAGTTGTTTGTGTTATTAGTTAGTTTAGTTTTGAGTGTTTTTTATTCTAACGTTGCTAGCCGGGATTCTAGGCGGTCTTCTGACCTGTCCTCCCACTTTTTCAGCTGTTGACTGCTGTGTATTCGCACATTTGTGCATTTTGATTTATAATATTATCTATCGTTTTGGGAAAAAAAAAAGAACTTAAAATATGGTGTAATATTTATCTTGACCAAAGTATTATCAACATGGATCATGAAAATCAATATTGTAATTTATTATAATGAATATCAATGAAAGTATTACAAATATTAATAAATATATATTTATCTTGGCCAAGTTATTATCAACATAATCACGAAAAATCAATCTTGTAATTTATTAGAATAAATATCAATGAAAATATTGCAGATATTAATAAATTTATTTAAGTAATTTTTTTATCATATCTTATTTGATCTTATTTTGAAACGTGTATATGGAAACAATTAATACATACATTTAAAAAGTTTCCAAAAATGGTATGTATTAAATGTTTCCTAAATTTTTTACTACTATTTTGAGTAAATGGTAATTCTTATTATATATATATATATATATATATAGGGGTTGGGTCAAATAAAAACTAGTCCTGGTGTGAGAACCGTGAGAACCATTTTTGATGCTATTTTTAATTGTGCATGATGCTATTTTTCATAGTAGATGATGCTATCATTCTTACAAGTGCTACCAGAAATTGTGTTGCTATTTTTAATAAAATTCATCCTAATTAAAAATAGCATCAAACACAATCAATCATAGCACTACGCCCAAATAAAAATAGCGGTTCTCACGGTTCTCACACTAAGACTTGGTTCTCATTTGAACCACATCCTATATATATATATATAGAAAGCCGAAGTGCTTTAAATCAGGTCATGTGAAATGATTGGAATAACGGCCCATTGAGATTCTCATCGAACGGAATGTTCATCAATTTGCACTGGCATAAACATTTTGACACTCAAGTCACTCCTCGAATCGCTGAAAATTTCGTATAATTTGTAGAGAGATTGGAAGAATGTGTCACAAAGTGAACCAAAATCCCTTATTTATAAGAAATTAATAACTTTCTCCCCAAGGCATGGTTTTCATAGCATACTCCTCTAAATTCAGGAATAGATACATTTAAATAAAGGGACAATTTTCTTCACACCCCAATATATATATGCACTTTATTTTACACTGTTCCATAAAAAAACTTTTTTTTTAATCCCACAACTGATGAAATTATATGTCATATAAATATCGCATATCCAAATGAACTGTATAATTAACAATTATACGAGATATTGTCTCATATATACCAGCGCATATTCAAATCGAATGGGTAATTAAATGTTATGCGAAATATTTCGCATGTGTTGCAATTGCATATCCAAACACGCCGCATAATTTACTATATGCGTAACTTTTTCGCATATATAGTTGTCGGATATTCAAAATTTATAGCCGTATATTATACGATTATGGATATGTTTTCGCATAGTTTACGACTCACATATCCAAATCTACCGCATAATTCACCATATGTGATAACATTTATCATAGTTTGTTATCGCATATCCAAATCGAATGTCGCATATTTTATGTTATGCGACATGTTTTCACATAATTAACAACTCACCTATCTAATCATAACGCCACATAATTACCATATATGAGAGTATTTCGCATATTCGAGAATTGCATATACAAATCGAACGTCGCATATTTTATGATTATTCACATAGTTTACGACTCGCATATTCAAATCTATAATGTCGTGTAACGATTATGCGTAATATGTTTGCATAAAATATGTTTGCATATTCGAGTGCGTGGTGATGCTGGCCTTGTTAGTGTTAATCACATGTACTGGTAGTATGTGGGTGAGGTAAAATAGTTTTTTATTTTTATTCTTTATTACTTTTTTTATTTTAGTTTGTTCATGAATTTTGTGACGCGGTTAGAACCCTAAAAAGTTTCAAATTTAATACACAAGAGGAGTCTGACGCTCAGGCATTTTTCGTTGGTATGGGTTCACTTGGTATCGTGAGTGTTAAGAGGTTTCTACTGAGCGCAACTCAGCGATGATCGACTTGGAGGATGGGCCTGGTGCTTCGATTGACGACCCAATCTGAGGAAAAGAGATAGACAATGATGGAACTGACGATGAAGGTCATGGTCAGATCCATCCGCCACCACCGCAACTGGAATTCATGATGCAAAAGGGAAGATGCTGAGATTTTCTTAATGAAAACAACATTGCCGAAGGGTTGGTTTGCAAGTTTTTGCTTCTCCAATATGAAGCAGTTACTTTTCGGGTTAAAATTTAGGAAATATTGATGTATTGTTTCGTGCTGTTAAATGCAACATTCTGTGATGTAATATAAGGAGTATTGTAAACTTTTTTTGTAAACCAAGAATGCACATTCTATTATCTCAACATAAATACTTTGTCAATATCTGAATCTAAATTTATAATATTATTATATGGTCGATGTATTACTTTTCAACTCAACAATGTATTTCCAAATGTGTGATGTCGACTCATCAACCTCTTATAAATATTATTATTATTCTTTAGTTTTACGTATTCAAATTAATCTGATATAGACTTCTTTGGTGTTATTATTTTCTTTGCGGTGTTGTACAATGTGAAGATTATGTTGTACCACAAAATATATGGTGTGCAATTAAACCGGAAGACATTTGTTGCTTCACTACTATGGATGAGTAAAAAGACCAATAAAAACTCTCTTTTATCCATTTTTTTTGAGAATTCTATTACTTTTTTCAAGATAATATTTTTTCGATCAACATAATCGATTTTTTAATATTACTTTGCATTCTAAATTATCTTTTTGAATTCGTTAATTTGGTAGTTTTTCGAAATTGTTCTCGTCACATTCGCTTACAGTGGTTTTAGCCATAAGAAGGGTTAGATTGGTGGAGTGACAGGCTAGTGTGGCGTGTCTGTGAGAAGAGTGTCTCTCAATTACGGTGTGGTGATTGTCGAGTTAATTAAGTACAAATAATTACAATTTATATAGTATTCATGTATTTTTTTTAATTAAAATAAATTTAAATTCCAAATAGAATCCGGATTTGCCGTGCATAACCTTGAACAAACTAGTATGTGTATAGAGTGAAGGGTAAATTATATATTGCATAGTAACTCTGGAAAATTAAAATGACACTGTTTTGTTATGAAAATTGAAACATGAGAGAGAATTGATGAAATGAAAAGGCATGCATTAATAATAATAATAAAAAAAAAAAAAACGCATGTTACACCCAGTCCTTCATCCCTTGAAGTCTCTGAACGGTGTGTGCATCCAACCGAAACGCGTCAACAATGTAACTACTATCAATACTCGGACTCGGTCCAAAAGTGGCGTGGCTCACCGAGGTGAGACCGGGATTCTGGCTGTTGAGCACGCTGTACGCAACCATACTCGTGTTCCGAGACGGATTCCTCTGGTAGTGAAGGAGTCCGATTGGGACGTAGAACACGTCCCCCTTCTGAAGCGTTTTCTTGTACACTCGATAATTATTCGAGGGCGTCACGAACCCGACCTCCAGTTCTCCTTCCACGCCTATCAACAGCTCGGAAGCTCTGGGGTGCGCATGGAACGAGTAGTACCCCCCGGGCGCTGCATCAAGCCGAGCTACAACAATGCCGAGGGTGTTGCTGCCCGGGACTTGCCTCGAGTCGAGCGAGGTGAAGGTCGCTCGGAAGGAGTTGTTGGTGTTTCCGGGCTTGCGGAGGGCGTCCGAGTAGAAGTGGTCGGCCGTGACCTCCGCTCGGTCCATGCACGGCAGCGGTAAGAGGTCGACGCCATGCGGCTTCTTACTGAAATCCGCCACGCACATGTCCTGGAGAGGCCTAGGATCATAGGCAAAGGCCACGCACAGGAAAAAATTAATGTTCATGAATATCAAACTACTCAAATAATTCACCATTTTTCCTATATATCTTTTGATTATGTGTATAGATAGATGTGTGATTGATCAAATAAATTGGTTGTGGTTGTGGGGAATGATGAGCGAGTGACGGGTCTTTTATAACTGCGTTCCTGCCAAGTGTCAACTAATCAATGCGTCAATTGGGCTCTTTTTGTAAAGAAAATAACATTAATTAATACTTACTAAAAAGAGAAAAGTTAATATCTCCACAATGATGAAACTCCATTCTATAGTTTTGACCGAACAAAGAAAGTTTAGCTTATAAATATCACGTGATGCACATGCACTTCATTCATTTTTTCTTGGACTAGCCCCAACAAAATATAATTAGTAGACTATTTTGTGCTGTATAAGTAGACTATTTTGCTTTAATATATAATATATATGTAAAAGTTTCAAATTGGAAAAACGAAAAGTGAGATTCTTTTGACATTAATCCGATATTTGAAAACATTATTGTTTAGGACTATAAATTAAAATATTTTGAAGTCATTTTGATATTTATTGACAGGAAATGAGACTTTCGAAAGACTAACGAGAATGGAGTATGTAGCAAATTTCTGTAATAATATTTTATATATTATTCTATTATTGTGGACCATATAATTAATTGGACCTAATTGAATTAATAGTCAAACTTTATTAAAGGTGAATATGTATTTAATGAATTATTTAATGTTCTAATATTAAAGAGTCCAATTTGTGATGTTTGACTTGGACAGTAAGTTAAGTTAGAACATGGGGAATGTTAGTAGGAATAGGTTTGTAGACTCCTTCTATATATACTACATGCCCTTCTCTCCCATCTCATACGAAAATAAAGTTCTCAACATCAAGGGTCTTATGAAAAGACGAGAGAAGCGGGAGAGAGAAACAATTCATAGACAAAGGGAATCCATCATTGGAGATTATGAGAAAGATAGATCCATGACGTTAGGAGGACGAAGAGATCGCAGATCAACATCATAGATCAAGAAAACAGGGAAGGACTATAAGCTGGATTCTTGTAAGTTCTATGTGCAATTTAATTTATGCAACGATCCATATTCTATGAACTGATAGAATAACATGCTTAGGGTTTATTCAATTCCGCCTGATAGTTATGAGTATGCCCGTTAAATTTCTTACAATTTCACGATATTTTAGACTTTTGAAATACTAACAAGTATAGAGTACGTAGCAAATTTCAAGATATTTTTGCTAACAGTGTTTTTCTAGTAAAATACCCGTGTATTATACGGATGTTGAATTATAAAGTTTTTGTATAAATTTTTAGTTTTTTTTTTAAACTAAAATAATTTAATCTTATATAAAAAATTACATATTTAAATAAAATAGAGATTTATAAATTATTGATTAAACATTTGAATTTATAAATAGTTTAGATATCTAAGTAACACATTTTATTTAAATTTATTACAAAAAATACTATATATATATATATATATATACTAGTTGTCTACCGGCTGTGCACGCACAGCCGACACGAATTTGGTCTTTCATGAATGTTAAATTTGACGAACATTTGAACTATCATTTTCATTGTTTGATATTTTAAATTATATGTTGTTACAGATTTTTATACAACTACAATTTTCATTGCACGACATTCGAACTTCACAAAAATGTTTAGCCCCAAATATAGATGAACGATTGTAAATCGATTAATATTTTGAGGAATATTTGTCATTTGTTTTTTATTTTGGCTTTAAATGCCCCCTAAATTAATTGGAGTTTAAATTATTTAATCATTTTATCTACATTCAAACACCAATAGTTATTAATGAATTTAAGCCTCAATAAAGTCCAAAAGTTGTAAACAGTTTTTGACCCTAAATAACCAGTTCAAATTCAGTCTATAATTGAGCTAAACTATTGTCCAAAAGTTGCAAAAAGTTTTGGACCCTAAACAACCAGTTCAAATTCAGTCTATAATTGAGTTAAAATTTAGCGTTATGTGCGACAAAATGTATAGAAACTAATCAAAAGTTCAAATCAATACTAAGAATAAAATATATCCACAACGAAACAAAGTTCAATATGTTGTAAAAATTTAACCTTATGCGAAAACCGCTTTACCCCAGGAGCATTCATATCGAATAATTGAGAATCAAACCGAATAAAAACGGAAGCGTACCGTACTTCATGAATTCAGCTTGATAATTCTCGTGTGTTGTGTTCTTCCAAACGATCTTGTTGGACTGGTATGGTCTTCCAAACGATCGAACCTTATAGCAGATTTTGATCTGTAGTGTTTGTATTCGATATATGATTTTGTTATATTCAATCATTCTGAAGTGAGAAGGTGAGTGCTTTTAAAGAGAGAAAGCACCCCTTCATAAATCTGCTCGTGTCTTTTCGTCGTTTGGGGCCATAACCAAATAAATAAGAAATATTGATTTTCAGTTCGGTCCCTCAACAAACAGAAAATCACATAATGGTATCTACACTTTTAAATTCATAACAATTTGATACTCTCTTTATTCAAAATTACAAATTAGTAGATCACTTTAATTGAATAATATTTTGACAACTATACACATTTAATTTACATATGTTGTCCAATAAAATATTTCTAACAATCTCCCACTTGGACTACATATGCAACCGAACAAATGTGTACTACTTTATGAGCTCAAACTTTGTTGTCACAAACAAGAGTATCCTTTACCAATCTCGTCCATTAATCGTATGACATAGGACTAAAGAGACCTTCATCATTTTTAGCATGAATCAACCCATCAATAATCACACATGTCAATACAATTAAATGACACAGATCAATCATGGAAGTGTAGCATGAAAATTACATGTAATGTGATCTTTCATGCCTATTTTCAACTGGCCACTTTATTCCATAGTGAGATCAATATAAAATCAAAATTACAGAGTATATTGCACCGAATACTTTATATCTGATCAGAAATATCCAAACACACATATACAATATGTCTATAGAACAATTAATACAGACTCCCACTAAAACCAAGTATCCTGAAATTGTGTCGCACCCATTCGAACAGTATGTTCATGAAAGACCTTGGGTATTAGACCTTTAGTAAGCGGATCCGCAATCATTGAGTCTGTCCTTACATGTTCTATAGCAACTTGTGCACTCTGTACTCTTTATTTTATAACTAGGAACTTTATGTCGATATACTTTGACTTAGTTAAGTTCCTACTGTAATTGAAATATAATACTGCTGAATTGATGTCACAATAAAACTTTAGTGGTCTTCTACGTTCTCAATAATATGCAGCTCAGTGACATTTTTGCAACTATATTCCATTATTGGATGTCTCATAACAAGCTACAAAATCAGTTGTCTTGACATCTACCAAAATCAGAATCAATATACTCGATGACCTCCAAATGATCTGACTTTCTGTAAGTGAGCATGTAATCTTTAGTTCTCTGTAAGTATCCTATGACCCGTTTGGCTGCTTTCCAACGATCTATACTAGATTTATTTAAATATCTATCTACTATACCAACAATAAGAGATATATATAGTCTTGTAAAGACCCTACATCAAACTCCCACTGAATTTATGATACACACAATTATCAACAACTTTCATCTCAAAACCAAATGAGATTACTACCTAATGACATTTATGGTACCACTGATGAGATGCCGGTTTCAGTCCATAGATAGATTTCTTTAGTTTACAAACCAATTTTTCCAGGTCATCGACCTCAAAGCTTTCTGGTTGTACCATATGGATCGTTTCATCAATGCACCAAACGTCGTCTTTATATCCATCTAATGAAATACAAGATCAAAATATGCTACTGATGCCATAAGATCACTTTCTTTCAAGTCATTATTGCCTTTATTTTCTTGAAGAAAGCATAATCATCCAAAATGTTATTTCTTTAATCTCAAGTGTATCTCCTTAATGGCATAAGTTATTGAGGTTGTTGAGTTTGTTCATCCTGAATAACTAAACTAGTTTGAGTTGAGAGATTCTTGACATTATTCTGTTGAGGTTCCAAATCTACTTCTCGACTAATTACAGGAATAGAGACCTGCACATTGTCAGAAGCAGTAGTAGAAATCGAAAATGATTCTTCCTCAAAGATAATGTCCTTAGCCTTATTTCTCCCCCCAAACTCAACATCCTCAAAAAATATCCATTTCCCATCTTAAATATAAATCTTTAGCGGGATAAAAAATAATAATAATAAAACCCTTAACCTTAGGAATGCTGTTGGTATTAGCAGATATATAAGTACCATATATCATAACTTAACAGAGAATAATAATAACTTAATCAACATACTCACATCAATCATACAATTTTAAATAAGCTTAGTAACATCTCAAGGCACTTAGCACAACATCAATATCAAGTCTTTGGACAGTAATATTAATTTGTAAGTGGTCGCCTTTGTGTAGTAATCAAATATTGACAAAATTCCTGTCAAAAAATAGTCTCTCTTTTGAAAGACATATTATTCACATGGATATAAACCATATATTGTCATATATTTACCACCACAGGTATTTATATATTTCTGCCAAATGTTAATCTTCCTTTGGGCCGATTAAATAATCGCATGAAACTATACAAATACAAACATCTAAAATTCTCGACAAATAAATCTACACAAGAGAGGTCACTTTTGTAACTTCTTGCTTCAATAAACTCATCTTTAATATTAGACAAATTTCAAATAGGAACATGAGATGTACCAAAAAAAATTCAAAAGAAATGATTGAAATATTTATTTATATATGTGCAATCACTAAATCAATTTATTATATTTGCACAAACCATTTAAATTATCGACAGAACTGCTTTCCAGCATGTCTTTACAGAGACGGTTCTCAAACTTTAATCAGGTCATTAGGCCTAAAAATACTGAATACACTTAAAATATTAAGCGCATGCTTAATCCTTATCATTGCAACATAGTTGCAGTTTGAATCCAATAAATAATTCACTTGAATTTACTTGAGTCCGCAGTATGACAAGAAATCTATATATATT